TTGGCCTAAAGCTCCCCGCCACGCACCTTGCCGCGAAACGCTGCTGACAATTCCTTGGAGGCAGCGAATTCACCGTATTCTCTGATCACAAGCCAGATTCATTCGCCTTGAAATCAACTTCCTAGAAATTGAACCCCGAGAGATTCGTCGACTATATCTTACAGTTCACCTCAGATATCCGTTATATCGACGGACCAGACAATGATGTTGCTGACGTACTGGCTAAAACTTCCGTTTCTCCTCCACAACTCAGTCCGGGATCAACCTCGCTGAGAGGTCTGCGGCAACGATAACACTCATTGTGACATTTCTAAATTGCCCCCTTTTCCCGCCATCCTAGCGATACAACATCTTCCCCTCCAGGCAGAATTTTTTTCACCTTGAGAGTTAAAATACAGACATGCTGCTTTCTGACCGCTTTGGCTGTTCTGCGAAATACAAGCAGCCGAAAGCTTTGACACAGGCATGTTTCGGCTGTCAACAGAGGAAGGTCCGAAGGCACAACAAATATCCCAGCGGCCACTTCCACGTCACTAAGCGCTTCAGCCTACCCGGAGGTACTGTGGCAGTCCGCTCGCTGCGCAACCATCGTTATTTACCTTTGCTGTAAGAAATCACAGAATTCTCAATTAAACGAACGCTGGCAGAGAATGACATTATTCGGATTTATAACCTTTCCACCAGTGGTCTCGCGCATAACTTCAGGGATTCTTGAATACATTAATTGTTTAAAAGATATACACAGCATAGCTTAGAATGCCCTCACTCTACACACTCCTTCTCTTACTTTAAGGGCATGATAGATTTCGCTAGAGTTTTCTCACTTTCGGTTTTGTCTTAAAGATGAAATTTTTAGCTACTGGATTCCGTTTTGTCTGCCAGTTCCGGAGTTGTCATTTTGTAGGAGGTTCATTAGACGAGAAACAGATAATTCTGTGGTTTTCGCAATTGGAATATGTGAAACAATCGCAAAAATACATCCCATTAGTTTTTAAAATGTGGACGGTTTGTTTTAATAACTTAAGTTCTGCGGCCTGTTTTGAAATCACGTGGTCGTGCCAGCCTTTTCTCCATTTGTTGTTTGAGTCTAATGTCTCCACCTAGCCCCAAGCGCCCAAGGGTTGAATCAGCAGATCGCCTCCCCCG